TGAATATCATTATTTTCACTGGGTTTTATTTACCTGTTTGTTTTTAATTTCAACCTTGGATATTTTTCGTGTAACACTATTTTTGATTGTGTTTCCCTTCAGATTTTGACGTCTTCGTGATCCATTCGATCATCAGGAGAAACAAAAAGGGTGAGAGTAAGTAACCTTGCCTGACACCGGTGTTTACTTCGAACGACTTTGTCAACTGTCCTCCATGCACAATTTTGCAGTTTAATCCAGCATAGGAATTCCGTATGATATTGACTATCTTCTGAGGCACGCCGTAGTGTCGAAGAAGTTTCCATAGTGTTGTTCCGTCTACGCTATCAAATGCTTTTTCGTATTCAATGAAGTTGATATAGAATGATGAATTCTATTCACTTGATTGTTCCACAATGATCCGTAGTGTTGCGATTCGGTCGGTACACGATCGGTTCTTACGGAATCTGAGAGATCGTGATGTCAATATTAAAAGAAATAAAAATAAAAACTACTTTTGAGATCTTTATTTATCTCTCAAACCGTCTGTAACTCTAATGATTCTCGTTCAGCAATTATGATTTTGTTTTGACGAAAATTAGCCGATAAACGAAAGTCTTATGACTAATAGGCGATTATGAACATCTCCATCATATAAATCAAGTCGCCGTATGTTCAATACCTTCACCTGACAGAGACTATCTACAAAATATAAAAGGCACCTCAAAAAAAACATCCAAGTTAGGTGATTAGAAGTAATGGAATTCCGCATGCTATCTAGTAATACCCTGAACTGAGCAACTTATAAACTAGCAGTAAGGTATGGACCACTATTTAAATCAGAAAGCACTGCGCGAGCGCAGACGAAGGTAAACAATTGAAATTCAAATCGCACATGGAATAGTGCACCGAGTAGTCATTCTTATATACGGACGTTAAATCAAGAAAAATAACTCAGTTAGAGGAGTGAATACAAAATGGTTAGAAATTCAACCGATGAAAACCACAAACAGTGAGAACGAAGCCCCACCAGTAAACTTTTTGCAGGAAGAGACTGGATAGGCATGTACAAAATTGTAGATTTTCCTCGTTCTACTGGAGCAGTACCTCCTCACTTCTTCTGAGAAGCATTAGCTGATCCATATGATTCTTAGTTAATGAGTTATTCTTATTTAAAACAATTAGTCCCTTTGATAAATTTCGATAATGATATTAGAAGACGAAAATTATCAGAACTATGTGATATATTAGCGCAATACATTTCGAACAATCTGGTCACACATATACTTGTTAAGAGCATTTATAGTTGACCTTTTATTTTTATATATAAATGCTCTTAACAAGTATATGTGTGACCAGATTATTTTTATTTACTTATGTGTAAGTGTATTCATAAGAACAGTCGAGTAATGTGAATTTAAAATGCTGAAGGTCTTGTCGGGATTTAGGCGCAAGATCATGAGTTCGATTTGCTAGATTTCCGAATTTCATTCGCACGTGAGGTTAACTCGTTTTGGAGGTGATATTACAGAACTTGGGATCTAATGATACGGCCTGCATTTGGATTAAAAAAATGTAATACAGGTGTGATTATATACGTACGTTTCGGGATATTCTGTAAACTTCCTAGTTACGTGTGTAGTGGCATTAGACCCTAAACACACAATCCTCGAAACTCAACACGAGACAAGTGGAAAAACAGATATTCGATATTTACTGCGGAGAAAAACCCAACGATGAAGAAGGCGGGAAGAGGGAATTGCATTCATTCGAATTGATCGGACGGCATGGCTCGGCCTTGCAGGCGTGGTCACCCTTGAGTGCTGTCTTATATCTTTTATTCATATTACATATATATTGTTCTATCTCCAGCCTAAGTTTGTTCTCCATCACATATGGGTGATTATTACGAGGAAACGAGTTGGTGTAGACGATGATATGACTACCACGTAGGATCTTATATATTAGGGAGATACATCATGAGAAATCTACAGATTTAGGATTAAGTCTATTATTAGAGTAGTATTAATAACGAATTAGACCATAATTCTACACGTGTACGTGTCGCAATGTTTCCAAGTGTTTACGCTTGGCTTTTTGTGATTGTGTTTCAGTAACACTAGCAAAATAATCCCCAAATAGTTTGCGTTCATCTTAGTTCAAACAATGAGTAATTTCACAGAGATATATTGCGTTTTAGTGCAACTAGTCGAGATTTAATAGCATCGATATAATTAAGTGCCTGATGTTTGAGTGTTTTTCCATTGGAATGAATATGGCTTCTCTTTAGTGCCTTCCAGAAACGTTTAGAATAATCAGTACTTTCGAAGACATAGATCTCACACTTCACTAATGTACTTTTGACGGTGTGACATCGAAACCCATCGTCGTGGGATCCTTGCAATTCTTCAACAGGCATAAAATTCTCATCTAAGCATTAAAAACACAAAGTCCAGCTAGGGGATCTCTTTTCAACAGATTTGGTATCAAGCTGTACAATCGTATGTATAGGAAAAATTGTGCAGCTTGATAATAAATTCTTTGAAAAGAGATTCCTTTGATTAAGATTTCTAATGATCAAATATTAGTCCATCGAAATGTCATATTATGAACATTTTTTCTCCTTTGACACAGGGGTCGTACTTCCGCTGTAATAATACGCTTCCGATTACCATCTCAGAACGTGATGTCGGGATGTGGCAGAGGTCAACGTAACTCTCTAACCTATTTGAAGGCGAATCGACGTGATCATCTCAGATTTGTTTCTACCACTGTTTAAAACGTACGCTCGGCCTTACCTTGAAGTCCACAATGTTCTTATACTCTCACTTTAAAAGACTTAAATCCCATAGGTCAAGTACAGGGACAGGCGACCAGTAGGTGATAGGGCTAAAACATGAAAAGACAGGCTCCAACAATTTGAATTAACCTCGTTGAGCTGTAGGAGAATATGAGGCGGTTCAATAATGACATTCAGCAAATTAAGTTCTCCAACGCCTACCAACACCAACATACTAGCAGAACATGACCACCACGCCGCTCGGGGTAGTCCATGAGAGCCTACACATCTCAGAACGAAAACTGAGGTGCGCACTCACCTTTTTTTTACCAAGATTCGCCCCTGCTTGGAATGCTCTGCAAGTCGAAGTGACCATGCCCCCTCATTCGACAGCTTCAAGAGGTGAATTGACAAATACGTACTCATCCATGGATTACTGTCACTCTTAGACCATCCGTGCCTGATACACGCCTCATAATTTAAGATTGTTATCATTGTCACACACCAGTAACTACTTTCCGTCTTCCTTATTATCATCCACATTTTGTTCTTACACTTCGGTCTTCTTACACTATCCTCAATACCAACGAATTGACCTTTTTATCTATTTACTTGCTTATTGAGAGAATCATATCCTCTTAGTGTTCGAGTTTTGACTTCATTATCTTTTACGTTGCAAAAGAGAGATCAACTTCCTGATAATTTGATAGCTACTGGTATCTTGAATCCCTGCACAATCAATCAAATAAAACGATATACAAATTCACAAACAGCTACCAAACTGACGAGAACTAGTGTAGTTTAGTGGCGAGACTACTACTCATTAAACAAAATCAAATGCTTGGAACCGTACCGAAACAACAAGAAGCGAGCTCAAAGAAATTGGACCTTGGAATGTTGCAGTCAACATGAAGGCTACGTTACTTTGTTCTGTGTTTAAAAGGTTAGTCTATACATTCCCCCAAAATACCAGTTCATCCTACTGAAAAAATGTTTCTGTGGTGAGGATAGTATAACATAATATATCAGTCGGTCTCATAACCATATATTTGTGACAGCCGGAAGTCTTTCGAAAAGCAGACGTGAAACACATGAAACTAACACCTAATATATGAGTACTTCCACAACCGTAATAATTGTGTGGATGGTAATTATCATAAAATGCTGCATAATTATTCTCGCGCGTGAATTTTTTTCCTAAATCACTTTTGTGTCTTTACTAGCCAGAATTTTCAAAACTTATACGGACTACCGCTTTACCACCAGGTACTGTTAGCGTACGTCCTACGACAGTCACAACGTTTTGTACTGTATTGGATATTTCACAGATCAGGATATTCAATAAACACTGGTCCTTCAAAATTGATACTTCTTAATCTCCGTATTGTAGGAAAATCCTGAGGAATTTTGGGGTTTTCCTCAAAATCATACAAAAATCCATACGTTTCCACAAAGCCTGGTGAAATATGGGGAAAACTCTCTCAAATTTTCTAGATATCTGTTAGGTTTTAATGGTAACAAGATTTGGGTTTGGAGATTTGTGATTTTGACTTTTATCTTGGCATATTTGAGAAGTTATCGCGAGAATAAGATCTTTGAAACTTCAAGCGATAACGCTAAGCCTCCATTTCGTGGTCTGAACAATTAACGAAATCATTTGGTTTATCTTTAGTAATAACACCACTTTTCGTCATGTTACGTCAGCGCAAACCAACGTAAACGTTTTTTAGGTTTTTTGATAGAATTTTTAATGGAGAGGCGACGTAAGATCAGGCTTTGAAACAGAAATGCTACCTAATTCAGTCGGTCCTAAGTTTCATAATTCATGGAAATAATTTATATTCGTCGAACTTGTCACAACTCATTACAACACGGCGAGACTAAAGCAATTAAAAGCAAAGATGAAAAATGATGCACAATGGAAGTAATAGACTAAGCGTAAAGTATAAAGCTGGAAAAGAACCAACTTTGTAGGGGAGTCAAGTGTGTGGAACGATACTATATTCAGGACCTGAGAGAAAATAAGACAGCAAAACGATATTTATTCTCAAAACATTAAAAACTATGTAGAAGCAGTAATGTAGTTTGCATAACACTTATTTGTAAAGTTTATATTGTGCGATTTGTTTATTTTTCTCCTTAAAATGGTAGTATATTGGTTTGTATTTCTATGTTCTTCACTTCTATATTCTTTTTTAGCTTGTGCAACAACTTTAAATATATGTTCTAATTTATTACAATAATGGCATCACCAACATTGATACTCGATATGGGTGGTGGATCACTGAAAATTGGATTTTCTACAGATCCTCATCCCAAGTAATTTTTGCTTTTTCCGTAGAATTGTCCTTATTTTCCAAAAGAATTATCGATAATTCCATTTTTAAGTCGAAAACGCTTGGTGGTCGTACATTCGTTGGAAATGAAATAGAACAATGCAATAATTTGTCGAGTTTATTTTGTGTCATGCCATTCAAAAAAGTGAGTATTGTGACGTTCCTGTTAGTCAAATGCTTCATTTACTCCCCTAGTTAACCGGGTTTTTTTTCTATTAAGCTCAAAATGTTACCATTTGTTCGTATAACTAGTTGCCTAAAAGTAGCTTTTCCATAGGCATACGAATCCCAGACCCAAAGATGTAACCGTTTACTTCCACCACTCGCTCATAAACTATAAGCTGACGTCACTTAGTTTGATTTGTTCATCCTAGTGTTATTTCTGCCCGTTATACAACGAATGTGGTTTTATGCCTATATTATGACAAACTTCATTTATTTGAACACATAGATTTTGGTACAAGGGGGCACCAGACACATATGCGTCACACAAATCTCACTTGATTTGTGTGAGGGCTGTGATGCTCCTCGGGTGGCCAAACCGAAGCAGGTGGTTTTCTCAGGGGGCCACACCCGAAGCCTTCGACCTAAAGATCTGATCCACAAGGCAGTGGAGCATCATAAGAAGATGCAGTCCCATGGTAGCGGATGACCAACGATTGGTTCATATGCCATTTTTTCCCTCAGGATACAGGAGCCCATGTGTACCACTGGTTTGGAATCAGGATTTTCCAACTCCCCTAGGTGGACTCCATGTCCATCAACCCAGTCAAAGCGCCGGACATCCGCTTTTCTTCGTCTCAATTTCGTAAACGTACTAGTACACATAACATCAACACTAATCACGTCTGACAAGATCCGGACATGGATTCAGAGGCTAGTCGGCTTTTATCAACTTACGTCTTTTGTGGTGTAAGCGAGATGTCCGTCTACCAGTCAGAAGGGCGTGTATACTACACAGAAGTTTTCTCGGTACTGCTTTATGGTTGTGTAACATAGCCTTTAAAGATGGGGGATATTGGTAGGTTATTAGTATTTGCTTACTGGTGTTTTTGATCAGTCAGTCAGTCAGCTACAACGTAGGACCAGGCACATATGTGCATCGGTCCAGGTTGCCATGCCGCATCAGCACAACAAGATGAACACTGGATTCATAGCAGTGGTTAGGTCAAAGGTGGTAATAAATAAGAGGAATATTGCATATAGAGATATAGTACAAGAAGAAAGAATTGGTTCGTAGAAAGAAAGATATGTTTTTGATACATTACTCTGATATCGTGGGACGATTAAATGAGTGGTGTTGGGTTTAGGCATAGGGTACTAGGCAAGTCCACAAATCGGTTTATGAAGTTATGAATCTTTATTGACTAAGATGGTTGGTACATGTATTACGTATACCGATTCACTATCTACCTCAGTGCACAATGTTAGCCGGTGTAGGAGTGGGTTGGTAGAAAGCTAGAGACCCCTGAATCAAGATAGCATCAACCCATGAAGTAATTGACTACTAATTTGAGCTATCCTTATAGATGACTACCCGGACGGGGTTCGCTTGATCACCATAACAAATGGTTGGGGATTTTTAGTGAAAAGATTCGAGGTCATTAGCAGTTGCACAGATGCACCTACTCTTTATCTTCATTTAAAGTTTAAAGGCTATTCTATACCTTTTATTCCACGAATTTATTCTTATTGAAATTTGTTCGTCTAATCTTTTCTATTATCACCGCCTCTAATTCTGCAGCAGTTGCCTTAATAATGACACTTCACTGTGCTGATATTGTTTGAGAAACTTGACAAACTCATATTTTTGCCAGTCTCTACGTTGGTTCTGACTGATTAAACAGTGATAGTACCAAAAAAGTGGTTATTAGTTCCAAAACTTCCTAAACAAATAGCAGTTTTATACCAACAGACATTGAATCATTTAGTCCTGCATGTGAGTTTTACAATCACCATATATATACAGAATCCACTTATATCTGGTCTTATGATGTAGAGACAGTTCATAAACCTCTTGTTGGTTTCCATTAAGTTAATCTTAAGTACCTCTTATCAGTAGTTTTTACTGCTCTTCGTCATTTGAAACAATAAATTTGTTTTCATCGGATATACTTCAAATAACTAGTTATATAGTGACTTAAATTTCACCATTATGTCCGGTAAATGGTTCAAAAGTCAATCAGTCTATCTTATTAGAAAATACCTTTACTACAATATACATCATAATGCTAAAATCAGCCGTAGATCAAAATATATTTCACTTTCATCATTTGATAAACAAAAGTGAGTAAAATTCCCGTGCTTTTATAACTGTATTTGACTTTCATAGTTGCGCTTGTGTTTATTTATAAAGCGATTTCATGTTTTTACATAGATATACGTATTTATTTTAACTAAATTTCGCGTTTATTTTCCAGTGTACTTGAACATCGATTTTACGTTCACCTATGATCACAAGTTAGTTCGCGCTCCATTCACCCATTTAGTTATGGGTGTGGACAACGTCTCTGTAAAACTCGATTATAATTATTACAAGAGTCGCTCATTGTTTTCCATCATTATCAAAGGCTACACAGTAGCATATTTATCATTTATAAAGGATTTGACGTAATCTATATCTTTTTTAGAAGAATCCCCATTCATTAAATATATACTTATACAGAACATTTCTTTATTTTTAGGGCTATATTAACAACTGGGAGGTTCAATGTCAAATTTTGGACACAACTCTTAAAAGCATAGTTAAAACAAACTCTGTAGGTAGTTTTTATCCTCTTATTATGTTTTTTTCCAGCAAAATTCTTTATCCGATCATAATCTAATTGTTACTGAGCCATATTTCAACTTTTCATCAACTAAAGAAGCTATGAATGAAATCTTTTTTGAAGATTATCAAGTGGCTGGTTTGATCCGCACAAATCGTAAGTGTTAGTCCGACGATATATACATCTAACTGATTTTTTAGCTGCATTTTTAAGCGCTTACAAATATAGAAGTGAATCAGCTCAACGTCTTTCAAGATATTGTATAGTTATTGACTCTGGATACTCATTTACGCACATTGTGCCCATGGCTGATGGATTTGTTATGAAAGATTTCGTCATACGGTATTTACCTTTTCAATGAGGATTTCTATTGTCTTTCTTAAAAAACTTATTTTTAATTGTCTATTCAAGGCTAACAGTAGGTGGGAAAATTCTTACAAATCGTTTGATTGAAGCTGTATCCTATAGGTAAGTTTTATAATTGACTATGACTATAATTTTCTCTCCATAGACATTTGGATGTTCGAAGTGAGATATATATAATGAATCAGTGCAAAGAAGATGTATGTTATGTATCCACTGACTTTTGGCAAGATATGAAGATTTCTCGGTGAGTCTTTTTAAAATATTGTCGTTTGTAATGTGGTACCGTATGCTTCATTTTTAGGAATAGCGGGGATTTCGTTTCTCGTCAATTATTGTATTTTTAGTACCATGCACCATCTTTACATGATTCTTATTTCAAAGTGATCACTTCCACATTAATTAAAAGGTTAAAGTATAAGACATTTCTATGTGTACAGCTAACCCCAGAAGTCTTCATTGTGCACAGGTATTGTGAAGCTCTCCGTGGTTAGTCACCACAACCTTCTGAGTATTATATTCATTTGTTAGTATGATCATTTATTTAATACCATAAACCCGTAGCATGTTTGGTGAAAATTATTAAAAAGTTCGAGGATATACTTATTCCATATGAACCATAGAACAAAAGGCAATTAAACTGTACTACTATTTGAGAACATCTCTCAATTCTCTGATTTTATTTTGAGGTTTTCGGTCCGATTCTTCACGTTGACGAAGTGGAGTTTAATCTACTTTGTTTTTTTCCTTCCTCATTAAAGGCAGACGAAACATTGTTTGACTTCACGCTTCCTAAGTGTTGTGTTTTTGTGTGATCTAATGCATCATTTCGTTTTTCATTTAATTTTGTTAGATCATATGAACAGTGCATATAATGATACTTCTTATAGTGCTTAGCATCCTATAATTCACAAAATCCTACATTTATTTGAAATAATTACGAAAGATGTTCAATAAAAATATCTTTTTAGAATATGCAACCAAAAAAGACAGTGTAAATGCTGTTGATCAATATATTGAATAATAATCCCTTGTTCTGTAGATAGATAGCTACACACCTATCCATTTTTGTTGAGTGCTACCAAACTATCAAACAATATTTGTTAGTAGGTTTTTCGTCTATCTTTACTTTTTTTACATAGATCGAACCAAAAATCAAATAGCATTTTAAGAGAATATGTACTACCAAACTATGTCGATGTACACCGTGGATATGTTCGTGATCCGAATGCGGTGGCTTCTGAAAATAGTGGTAAAGATAAATCAGAACAACGAGCTTCCAATCTGTCACAGCAAGGATATGTATTGCGTTTGAATAATGAGCGTTTTACAGTTCCTGAACTGATTTTCTATCCATCTGATGTGGGCTATCAAGAAATGGGGCTTACAGAAGCTATCCATTACTTAATGAGTGAACGATTACCGGCTGCAGTAAGGCCAGGAGCTTGGGCAAATTTTATGGTTATGGGTGGTAATGCATGTTTTCCAGGATTTGCTGAACGATTGTAAGTCTTTATTAGGTTTTGTGCGAATTCAAGTAAATTTTCTACTAAATTGTCATCAATATGGCTTTTCGTCATTCCATACGGTACATATGATATGGTGCTAAAATTAATGTTGTTATCTGTATACACTCATGAAATTTACAGCTGTCAAAAGCCAGATGAAACCATTGTTCTCAAAGTTCGGTGGAAATTTTAACTTCACTAAAGAAATTCGTTCTCGTAAATAGGCGATTTTTACAAATATATTGATGAGTTACTTAAATCACGAATTAAGTAGCCAAACGATCTTGTATTAAAATATTTTTTGATGGCCTTTGTATCGGACTAGATAACTGATTACTCAATGTAATAAGATTGTGACAATACAAAATTTAAACTTGAAAAGCATTACAGTCAATTTAATGGGAAATATTTTAGATAAGATTATTTGTTCTGTTTACTTTCATTTATATATGAAAGTCAACTGCAAATACTCTTCTTCAATAGAAAAACTTATTTTCTCTTAAATAAGTAAATTCCCGATTGGATTTATTCTCTGACGAGTTCAGCCAAATGTGTTTCTTAATCTGAATAACTTATACCCTAAAAGACATTATGTTTTAACCTTGAATTTATATCCATAAACAGATTTCTACCGACCATGTAAACGGGTTTTTAAGTAAAACATAGCTAATACTGTGTATGTGCTACTGATGTCGATATATATAAGTAGTATGTATCACCGCTCGAAAGTAGAATGCCCGGCAGCAGAAGGTTGAGAAAATCGAAGAGAAGAGAACGAGAACAGAGAGTGATTGGTATGGAAACAAGAAACAATAAAGTCTGAGACAATTGGTGGATATTTTGTAAATGAAATATTACTGTATGGTTCTCAGATTTTACTAAGAGATTCTATAATTTTGTATTCCAATACATTTGGATACCCCTACTCGTGTTCTCGCTCATTACAGTACATTTAAAGTGTTATGACGGCGTTATAAGCATGATTTTAATATTTAATCGGAACTTAGTATTAAAACTCTATTGCTGCTGAAAATTTTTATTGAGTTCCATTTACTTAGATTAACCTACTCTGCAGCCTAGAATTGTTGTTCACTCTGGGACTCAAACACAAGTAAGTGGCTATTTAGACTCAGTAGCTAATTGGATAACACGATGACGTCCTATTCTACAATAACTTGTGTTGTATTGGCGATATGGAGGCCATTTGTACAGGATGCATTTATGCCAACCAAGACTGGTTAGATTTTAGTCAAAAATATCAACAATGGGATAATCCAATCCATTTCAAATTGAATTAACGATATTGTTTCAAGCTAGAAATAATATCCCTAAATTTCTCACTATTTAGATAGATCATAAGTGTTACTAATCAGTTCAATAGGACTCATTGGTTTTTCAGCATTAAAATGTCAACCACTGTGTTCGCTGCTGGAAAACTGTCCTTCTAGTTTATTCGTAGCAGCGAGTTGCTATTACTATCCCTCAAATACATATGAATGTACTTTTTTACGTTTAAAAATATAATTGTTTTGTGTTTAATAATGTAACCGGGATGTGAGTCAACTTTGAAGCTCATTTACAGAGTCTCGTATTAGATCAAATTATACCTGCTCATGACTTGCAGTAGCTAATAAGTTTCATGTTATCAGTTGTTAGTTTGATAAAACTAATCAAACACTAATAATCACACTTTAGTGTCTTATCTTCAATTAGTAACTTCTTTTCTTTCACTTAACCATTACTTATGGAATATGTATATTTTTTGCAGAAATATCTGTTGTGATTTTTCTTTTGGTCTTCATGATTTGACGTATACATCCATCCGGTTTGTTGTATTCTCTATGACATGTGTGTTAATTCATTACCTATCAATACCTAACAATACAACGTGTGCTTGTGCATAATACACGTTGTAGACAAAGTGTGCACATTTGTGTTTATCCTTTTGTGAGGTCCGACACTGTTTTGTATGTATGTGTTTCTGTATTTAAGTCTGTTTGATATCCTATGTAAAAGAAAAAGTCCTTGTGACTTTTCTATCGATCGATAAAGTAATCCGAACATGTTGTATTAAGTTTGACGCTACGCACCAAAATAGGTCGTATAAGCTTTCTCCGAAAATTCTTCATGAAACAAGTAATGCGTTGCATTTTGCTCTCTTATGTTCATCACGTTGATTGTGGTATAATAAAATTCGAATACCTTGGCAAAGTCAATCAAATACTTAAGAATAGAACATAAACATCCAACCAGGGTTACAAATAAAAAGGTATAATAATAGATAATGATATATCTGGTGAATTCCAAAATAATAATCAATACAAATACTCCCTGAAAGTAAGTGTTACCTTAATCACTAGTGACTAATCATATTGAAGCTCTTCGGGTTTTGAAAGGGTAGTTGTGGATTTTCCAAGTAGTTGCTGGCATTTACACACATGATAATTGTGATTAAATGATGAATCGATTATGATCTCAGGTGTGTTGAGTCTAATGGCATAATAACTACCATTCTCTTTATAGGGTTTTAACTCTATTCCTTAAGACTGTCATAGATGTAAACTGCTGAAACACAAAAGATAAATAACTGGCGTTTACTACCTAAGTTCTTCAAGTATATTCTTTGTTATCCATTTATGAAGAAAATCAAATTTAATTCGAACGAAAAGCATCACATATTGTACCATGATGTTTCTTGTTGATACTTCTTGTCAACTGATAAGTATTGTCCTTTACGATTGAAACCAATATTAGACTCATGTATCCCATCTATTTAAGATATACTAATATATAAATAGTAAATGTCATTTTATACGGTCATACATTTTCAAATTATAACACAATTCCCCCGTACGAGTTAATCTTTTCTTTCAATATTAGTTTGGAGTTTCTCACTTGTTTATTGCTTCATTGTACGTGCAATCATACATATTGTTTTTTTCTAATATACTTCGAACATTTACTCCTCAAGACAGTTTTAATTAAATGTACTATTATTATTTGAAAAGCGACATTAAGTTAATATTTAGTCAGTCCTCATTATCTTTTATAAATCCTATCTGGGATTATTATTATTATTATTATTATTATTATTATTATTATTATTATTATTATTATTATTATTATAGATGATTAATCTTAAAAACGTTAAGAACATACTTCTTAATTATCTATGTATTGAAATATTCAGTTTCTGTATATTAGTTGCGTGTTACGAGCACTTTACTTGTCATTAATTCATTTTTTTTAAATAATAAATTCGGTTAACTTGTTTATATTCCCTTATAACTGAAATTAATTAAGACTTTGATTTCGTATACAACGACAAATAGAGTTAGCGTTTCACATGACACTAATATATCTACAAATTAAAATATGTCATTTTCACTTATGTAATGTAGTAATAAAATAATGGTATTATAATATCCCGATAAATAAACCAATAAAATTTCTGATATTTCGTGACTTAGGATAAGTCACTTCTTTTGAAAAGAAGAAAATCTTGATTTATACATGTATGTATCCGGGTTTTTTTTAAAAAAAAAGAAACTTGTTGGAATACTTTCTTCTGAGAATTCTATATTGTACTAAATATATAATGTTGAATAAAGCTATTAACAATAATAATATACGGTACATAAATCTAAATACTACAAGAAAATAAGTCAAATGTTTGGTACAAACAAAGAGGTTGAATTATGCCAACGCTATGTCATTCAAGTCGAAGGTGATTCTGTTTTATATAGTGCACTTTCTATAATATTAATCACATTTCTCTTATATATTTTTCTGCATATGTTAGGAATGTTTCACCTCCAAGTAGACACCTAATAAGTGATTATTTCTTAGGTTTGAATTTCTGTTTTTCTCCGTCCAAATTTTCTCACGGGTTTTTTCATTTAGATTTTTTGTCCAACTGGTTCCTCAGTTACCCAATATCTTCAAGCAACCTGAATAGCAAATTGCTATAAGTTCTTCAACTCTAAGTGAGGTTGAAAAGGCTATAAGCAATCTAAAGCGAGGGTGAGCAGCAGGACCTGATGAACTAACCCCTGAGATTTTTACGGATAGTGGTCGGGTTTTATCAGTTAGATTAACTGAGATCTTAGCTAAACTCTGAGAACTAAAAGTAATCTCATCTGACTGGTCTTCATACCTAACCGTCCCAGTCTATAAGAAAAGACAAATATCCTCTTTTGACAACCACAGAGTAATCAGTTTAACTAATATAGTAACTAAAATGTTAGCCTCAATAGTACTTCGACGTCTAACTACTACTAGTGAGGAATAAACCCGAGAAAGCCAGGTTGGTTTCTGACCTGGACAAAGATGCATAGACAAAATTCACCTAGATTCGGACCCTCTGAATTCCTAACAATTCTCCTTATTTCACTAATCTATATTTCCTTCAATGCCTGATCTTTTCTGTTAACACTGATATTGTTACTACCTCTACTATTTCGGGATTCGGACTGACAATTTCATCTCTTTGTACATACGTATACGTACCAGGTCCTACGTCGTGACTAACTGACCGACTGAATTTCATTTTCAACGTGATAATAACATGCTGTTTTCCATCTACCTCTCAGTTCTTTTGATGTGTTAATTTCTCACCCTATTTGTAGAGTTATTGTAAATGTACACATGTACTGTTTCGTTGAATCAATCTTCTTTGGTGTCTACCAATCCATCTTCTTCATAAGATTTGTTCTTTGGGGAGTAGCCGAAGTTAGAAAAGAAAGGCAGTTGTGAAATGCAGATAGCGAAGCATAGCTAGTAGCTATTCATCTTTTCTCTTAATATCCCACCATATATGAAATATCCGAAATTGTATTTGCAGAAAGTTCTTAAATTTTATTTATTCAAACTTGTTTTTACTGATAGTTTCATACACAACGTAAAACCTGGCAAATCTTTACTTTGAAGAGAAATTGTAAATTGACCATACGATACTACCAAACATGAATTATTGAATTGGTTTAGGAAACTTTACTGAAGCACACAGTTAGTGGAAATGTAATAATCAACTCTATTATCTGTAATGAATGAATTCATTTCTTCTTAACATGTCCTCTTTTTTATTGCTTGTGTTGGGGTTATCAATATTAGTTTGTACAATGGTCCCATCTGTTTTTTTTTACATAAGGACACGACTTAGTTACCTTTTACCAATTACCTAAATCAATCCTTTTACAGTTCCAAACCAACTCCATACAATTTATGTCTTATAGTGTTATTATTTTACATACAAAGGGTGTGGTTTAGTAGATTGAATCATTTAACTTGCTACCATTAAATTCCAAGTTCTATTTTCTTTTTATCTACTCAAGTGTTTAGGCAGTTAGGTAGTGTTATTAACTTTTCTATTCATAAAACGAAGTATACAAATTTCTATTTGATAAATAAGTTACATTAAGTTCAAGTTTTAAGATGTAACTCCATTATTACTAATTTGTTATTACCTTATTTCATTAATTTGTTTAGTCTAAATAATTTCATGTATTTCTATCATTTGTACAACCTTATTTTATCAAGTTAATATTAATGAATAAGGTCAATCATTCAGACTGTTTTTTTTGTTGTCCGAGAAATTCATCACTAACAAAAATTGTTTGTTTTGTTTTTTTTTTTCAAATAAAAATCATGATAAACTTTTCATAAAGTAGTAATGTGTTCATAATTTCAAACTAATAAATTAAATTATCAGAATGGGTTTTGTGGAGATTTTTAGAAATTTCACTTGTTGAAATCATGAATCAATTGAAGCTAGACCACCATGGAAAACCTGGAAGCACTGAACGGCCGTTTCGTCCTAGTATGAGACTCCTCGGCAGTGCGTATCCACGATCCCGCATCCCGCGGGATTCGAAACCAGGACCTATCAGTCTCTAGCATCAATTGACTCATGATTTCAACAAGTGTAATAAATTAAATGTTCATTTGATTGTTTGTTTTTATTTATTAGATTATTTATTGGTTTTAGATCATGAAATTTCTGAATTTTGAGCTATTTGTTTAAATTTGATTTTACATATTTTATTCAATATAAGTATAATTCTTATTAGTTTACTTTCTTTTGAGAATATCATGTAATTGTTTGTTTAAATTGAATTTAATTAGATCAACTAATTACAATTATCTTTTATTTCAGATAGAAATTATTTTATCTGTCTAATAGATAATTAATTGTTATCACACATGAAGCTTTATATTGTACAGAAGTTATAAAGTTCATTTTATAATATCTATGGGTATACAAGAAATAAATTCGAAAAACAGTTGCTAAGTTTTTAGTTGAATAAGTGATAACTTTACAACAATAATGTATGTGTATTATCTATTTGCTTATTTTGACTAGATTTACATTCTTTTGTAAATTTTTATTACAGACAAAGAGATATTCGTACTCAAGCACCTGATGATCTTCCAGTAAATGTCTTTAAACCCCCTAAGTAAGTTGTATTTTTCTTCTACTAACTCTCATTTTTAAGATAAATTCTAAAAGCTGCTTTTTGATTGTATCAAAGACTATGACATGTTATTTGGAGTGTTTTCTTCGAGTGGTATTCGTTGAGAATTTATAGTCTTCCTTTTTATTGGACTTCTCAGAAGACATACTTTTGAAAGAAATACCTGTTTCCTCCAACTTACTATAGATCCATCACTTTCTAAGAAATCTAATCAACATCAACAACAAGGAATTAATCTTGTTGAGTGAAGGTGCTGATAAAGGGTGTTTCATTTGCTTTCGGAGACTTCGTCACTTATGGTGGGTTGCTGGCTAGCGAACTGTTTGTTTAAACACTAAGCGCTTGCTTATCTCCATTTTAAGCCATTTACAGTTCAAGATTATTCGAACGTCTAGTAATCAGTGACCAAGTTATTAGGTAGATATTTGTTTTGTTATTTCACGACTGAGACGTGACTATTAAAGTTGGGAAGTAGGCACTATTTTGTAATATGTATCTCTAAAGCACTTCTGTGCGGTGGGACCACTAGCCTCTGCTGAATGGGTTGTTTTTCACATATTTTATATATTTCTAGTCATTTCATACCCTAGCATAATATTTTTGGCTAACATATGAACAGAATAAAAGAAAGTTTAGGACGACCAAAACAAAAAGTAGCATCAACCCATCAAGTCGCGATGAATCTGGGTCGTATAAGCTTCCTCATTCGGATCAGCGAAATACAGCTCAAAACTAATCGTTGTCTTAGATCCATCTGCCTGTTTTAAAATGTATTTTCCTTTGTCTTTCTTCCTACAGTTCTTTACTTTTATTGCATTATCTAGACCTCCAGTCACTGTACTGATGGGAAATGCGCTGATAAGGATGATCACAAACATTTTTAAGATCTGACCCTGTCTGTCTAAACTTTGATTCTGACTACAATACTTGCTGTGTTTTTTTGGTCGTCAAAAGTTTTCAGGTAATCCATAAAATATTTCTCGCTTCGGGTTAATATCTTTTAACGTATCTTCGGTTTCAAAATAACTTGTTTCCCAATACAGACTTGAACCCTCAGCTTTGTATCATTTGGCTCAGTGAATATACTGTGCATTTTTTTACTGGATAAAACGACTAATTTTTAAACCTAACCCAGTAAACATTCTTGTGCACTAGGTTACATATTTTTTATGATGAACACTATGACTAGTTAAGTGCCTTTTCAAAATAATTGCCTATATTTAACAGTTTCTTTTTTTGCCACTTTCGTTTTCCTACACCAACATTAGTCCTCAAACCTACGCTTGGGAAGGTGGTGTTTTGTTTTGTCAAAATTCAGATTCATTCAATCATTTCTTAGTTACGCGCAAAGAATATGAAGAGCAAGGATCTAGTTATTGTGAAAAACGATTCCCTATTTCTTGAATTTCTATTAATATTTATGCTTTTGTACAATGAGACAAAGAATATGTATAAATTTATTCAATATATATAGGAGTAATAATGGTAACAACACATTATTTCGTTCTTGTGTCATAATCATCAGTATTCGTAGTAAACCAATTCGCTAAGCAAAACCGAAAAGTTTGTTTAAAATTATAATAAAATTAAGAAATTCCAGTTCAAAGAAATAAAACAGAACTGAGAATATCATTGTTCGTTTAGAAAGAAAAAGAAAGAAAACAGAAATAATATTTCACAAATAAAATAAACATTATCACGCAAGTGCTGTTTTGCGCGTACATTAAGTAAGAGAGAGAGGGAGAGAAAGTATAAACACACATCAGTTCTGAGTATAGTACATACAACATAAGAAAATAGCATAATTCCTTGATAACAGTTGTGTAAAAAGTTCTCGGATTTTCGAACTAGTCACTAATAATATAAATGAATAGTAGTCGTGGTGGCAGCAGATAAAAAATGTAAGAATAATGATGTGACTTGCAGGAATCCTATCAGTTAAAAATAGTAAACGATAAATGTTTGCATACAGCTTTTCTTCAGAAAAGTAATTGAAATATATGTATGATGCAACAATTATAGTTATAAATTAATAATTAAACAATTAAGACTGTTCGTATTATCATTAAATAAGTAACAGAGATCATTCTATAAATCATGATATGATACAATAGAATTATGGTCATCTCGGGGAAAACATACTTGTTATACTTACCAGCCATGTGTAAATAAACCACTGAGCGTTTAAAGAAAAAAAAGTAAATGTAAGAAAAAATTAGTAGGCAAATTGATCTATTTTATGTTGTATAAATTGTACAGATTTATCTATCTTACAGCGTGAACAAACGAATGCTCCAGGTTGTTTGTTGTACATTTGTACGTTTATTCGTTAAACAACAAATAATGATCATAGAAAGAGAATTAAACATTATATCGTTGATGTATTTGGTACATAAATTGCAATATTAGCACTCATATGTTGTTTAAAAATAGAACAAATGAGAAAAGACAAGTGTAGAAATTTGAAGAAAAACAAACAAGGAAGACAATCAAATATAATTATTCTATACTTAAGGAAGGAGATTAACAATGAAATGATTGTTACAAAGAAAAGTATGCGAGTAGGCTAGAAGTAGAAATACCGTCCAATTCATTGTATATATGTTCTTGAAATCGTATTATTAAAATTTGAATAACAAAGTTTAATACAGCATTAATTAACAGTAGTAAAAGTGAATATTTTCTCTTATTGCACTTAAATGCATCTCATTATAATCACTTATCAAACTTATTAATTAATCCTTCAATTGAAAATTACAAATTAAGACCATACAAACAAATAAAAAGAAATTGAAAAAGATTACAGAAACACTAATATATAATAAGTGAATAAACATTACAAATATAAAATATGTTGTAATGTCATTTTACAATAAATAATTAATAAATTAAAAATAATCATGATAAATGACTAACTTGATCTTGATTTTTCTCAATTGTTCTATCTTTTACGCTTAAGGAACTAAAAATTACTAAGTATGAAATAATTATTATTGTATAATGTATATTACATGTATCATTAATATGCAAAGAAGAATCCAAATAATGCGAGGTACCATTAAATTGTGATGTATTATTTTAGTTATAACAATCTTTTGCATAGAATAATTATTCACAACAATAATAGGTTATGTTAAAGAGGTGTAAATCGTAATCCATATAGTACCAGATGGTATGTGTATAAAATCGAAATTTCACAGTATGCTGTGGGCTTGACTAACAATTAATACAATGTTCTTTTCCCTTTTTTTTTAAAAAAAAAAGAAAGACTATTTCGAGAGAAAAAAGCTGGATGGTGGAAGTATCCATTCACTGCACTATGTGTTTGTGTGTGTAATTCATCAAAATAAAAATCTTCCTGGTGTAATTTGAGCATTTCGATAAGTTTCAGCTAAATAAGCAGCTTTTGGATCATTTTTTTCTGAATGTGTAGTATTATTATATAACGTTAAATCTCCTCTCTGTGATAATTGTTCATTTAATTGTCCTGAATGCTGATGATGATTGTAAGAACGATTAGTTTGATTAAATAAATTTTGATAGTTTATATGTGCACTTGGTGGTTGTTGTGAAATGATTGAATGTTGACGATTTATAACTTGTGCTTGTTGTTGATATTGATGGTATGCATAAGCGGCAGCGGCTGCCGCTTCAGCTGCTGCTAAATTAGATACTTCATTAATCGAATGAACTAACTGACTAGCATTATTTGACTGAGATTGTTCTATAGATTTAGATAAAGCATTATGCATGATATTTGTTGTTTGATGTAAATGAGACGAGTAAAATGGATTAATGCTACTATCAAGCACATTTGTAGCACCGGGATTATGTTCTGTATAATTTGTATTCGAATATTCACTAGTTGAATTATTATTACTGGAAAACATATATTCATTCAGTAATCGATTATTAGATGGTACTGATAACTGTGTATTGTACTGATTATTCCCAGTTGAATGATGACGAGACTGATTTTGAGTACATGATGACCCAGTTGGGTTGAATTGATTATTACGTAAATTTTCTGAATGGGCTTCTTGGAGCATAGATGAAACAGGTAATCCACCAATAGTTTGACTATCACATCGACCTGTAAGTATGAGAAAAATTAGTTGGTGATACCACTAATTAACCCAAAACTACTTATTAATGCAACTACATAAAACGTAAACTACTTACTGTATAAGCTTGAATCAAATTTAATTAAAACTTCTATTTATTTTCAAAGTTTTATGCTTAGTTTTAAAACTATTTGATAAAAGCTTTGACTAAAATTTTTTATGGGGAATGTATGTTTAAAGTAATCTTAATAAAACTTAATTTTATGGGAAGATGAAACAATTATTCTGATCATGTAAGTAAGTAGATTCCTTTTAACTACGAACAATAATGATAAACATTATCTCACAAACATCTTTTCAATGTAAGATATAATGAGATGGATTAGGAAATCCAATGGAAGAGATTTAGTATTCAGGCTACTTTCATAACATAGTAAATATATATTTAAAAAATGCTTATGAAGCTCTGGTTTAATTGATAACTTGTGTTGAAGTGACTAATCATTCATGTTTTCCTACTCAGCTACAAGAATAGATTATAGCAATTTGAATAACCAATTTTATTTGTACGAAACCTACTGTAAAATAATTGAAGAATAACTAACGTTATATTTTGTTTAGCCCTGTGATGATTAGATCCTATTGATCAAGTGTAAAATGTGATCCCAGATAACAGTAAGGTATATTTGGCTATTGATGTTCGAAGTGGATCCTTAGAAAACTTCGTACCTAGACTCCAAACTGGTTAGTGTTTATTAAAAAGGTGTACCTGTGTAATCGAATAAATTCAAGCAATCCTGTAAAGCTTTGCATACAACCGATTCATTTGCTTAAACTAGTTTCACTGAAATATTGATTGAAAAAGTCAAACTCCTGTGCCAAAGTGCCAGAGTAAGAATTATAAATCCAGTATTTTCTATGAATTACCACTAGCCATGAAAATTAGTTTGTTTTGTATATCGTTCAAACTATTCACCTGCTTTCTGGAGTCTTGTTTAACTTATATGAAAGCATGAATAATTCAGACAAATTCGCATACAATTTTCAAAGTCGAACAAAAATACAACATAGAGTTATTTGCAAATTGTTTTAATAAACTAAATATATCACTAATGTGTATCAAGTCACTCTGTACAGGTTTAAAACAATTCATTTACTAACAGTTATTGCGTAGTAAACAATTAAGACCTAAAAATACACAAAACTCTCGAGCTAATCAGGTCATCTATTTGAAAAAAGTTAGAAAACCCTAGATAGAATACTACAATCATAAATATAGACTAGACAACACCAATGATCCCATTGCAACTTACAGAAAAACACGGATATTCATAAAACTTATCGATAGCACTCTGGAATCCTTCATGCAAATTTTGACAGAACAAGTCGAAAAAAAAGTAATGAATTCTCCGAATATACAGACTAATATAACAAGAAGAATTCCAAAGTCATTAGCTATGGTGTAACCACGACTCTCTTCTTTGAACAGTTAGTTATACAATATCTGGTACGACAGTTGTAGTAATATTATCTTGATGGCAGAATATAAGTTTTATTTTCCTAACATTTGGAATTAAATTAGTTAGTGAGTGGTTATTTCTTCTGATATCCCATTCAATTTAAACATAAGGTTCGATTTCATGAGTTAATTTTGATTCAGTCATCTCACTCAAGTGATATTGCATTTCGTATTCCTAACAATTTCCCCATACCAAAATAAATTAATTTTTCAAAACATAGAGACTAACAGTATAAAAGAGTTCATTTTTTACGATACATTTTATTATTTTTTTCAAAAGTTTAAGTTACTGTAAACCTATCCTTGGATTTTAAGTAGCCCAAATTAAAATACATTTTCTCATTCTTGTATTCACTGTTGAAATTATAAAATAGAACTATGTAAAATAAGGTGGGTTGTTCCTTTCCAAAATAATTCACATTTGTGGTAATACATATGTCTCATCTCTTTTTTCCATCGTTCAAAGCATACCCGGATTTCTTCAGACGTCAGGTTATTCAAACGCCTCAGAAACGAAAAGAAATTACATGTCAGAAACTTATGGGCGATCACTGCTGAATGTCAAGGTAATTTCCGCAATACAGTAGCAATTCATTGATCGATTAGTAACTGGATAATTATAAGCTACCAAGGCGAGACTGACTTTAGATGATAGACCTTTAAGTACAATTCTACTGCCTGTATATTTAGTTCTCTCCAACTAATAATCGTAAAAGTCCGATTCTTGTGTGTACTTGACAGACTACGAATTTTGTTTATGTTATAGGCACATTTGATTTGTTCTCCGTGTAAGGAAATTCTCGTAGTAATAAATAGAAACACCTAAATAAGAGGGTATCAGACTAAATTTGAGCAGAATTCATAAGAGATTTGGGCAAATAGTGGTAAAAAAACTATCTGATTATTTCATACTGTTTCTCATCCAGCTTAATATGTACATTTGTATCTTCCCTTATTTTAACAGTGAAGCACTTAATAAAATTAGTACAAGGTTTTATAGTTACATACATACCACATCAGATCAATTGTCAAACTGTCAACAACAAAAAACAATGTTCTTAAATGCACTAATAAATCAGGTCATTATTATCAATAAAATCCAGGAGTGCGAATCTCTGTTTAAAAATTCAATAGTAAAAATAAACCCAAATGCATTTCGGTAATTTCAATTGTACGTACATAAGTGTACTAAGCTGAGCCAAATCCGATGGAAAAAATTAACAAAATTATTCAACTGTGATATCGAAGTAAAAGGTGAAATGTTGAACACAAAAAGCAATGACCAAAAACTAGTAGAAAACAGGTTACTTAAATGTTTAGAAACAAAATGTGCTGTTCTTGACACCCAAACTTATCAAAAATGCATGAACTGACCTTCAAATTTACTGAATGACAGATTTATCAATCGTAACGTCTAGAACTAGACTGTTGAACTAAGTGGATTTGAAGCTCCTCAAGGTTGAAGAGATAACCTGTACTATATAAAAAGCGCAGAACCTAAGACCTTAACGTTGTTGTACGTATTAATTTTGTAGTCCAATGAGAAACCTACTCATTCCAGAAATATCCAACAATCTTGTTTAAAAAAACCAAGATGTGGATTAAATCCATGATATTCTGAGCACCTTAACCAACAATACAAGTATGTGTCGGATGCGATTCTCTCCCTCAAAATCCAAATCTTGCTTCAGAATTGGCTTACATCAGCGCCTGAATTATTGATAGGAATCAAAGTAGTTGAACGCATCAACCGCTCAACTTGTCTCTGAATCTCATCACTCCTGATAGTCTAGTGTCTGACGAAATCTCGACATGAATTCAAGAATATCAGTCGGCTTCTTCCAACCTGTGCCACTTGTGGTGTACGAGCGATATCTGTCCCTTAACCAAAGGAAGATCCTACTGCACAGCGATTCGCTCCGTTCAACTTTGTGGGTGTGAAACATGGACATTAAGAATTAAGTATTCGATCGTAGTATCTTCGAAGCATTGATCGCGTATCTTGGAATCACCGAGTGAGCAATACCTGAGTATACAATACGGTATTAGGTAAGGATGGGAGATCAATCGATGAGATAGTCAATCTTCATCAACAGAAGTGACTGGGTATTCGTAACACATATCCCAAACATCACTTGCATCGATGGACGTTGTTGTGTGTTGTTGGGACTAGATAGGTAGAAAACGAGTAGGGACGGTCAAACCAAAACATCTCATCAGTCCATGAGGTCATTGACAGTTGGATTAAGCCATATTAACATGTGTAGACCACCTTGTTGGGGTCTGTGTAATTATCGAAACCAATGTTCAGAGACTTTGAATGACGTGGCCTAGAATCGTTTGCAGTAGTTCAGCTTCCTACATTCTGTCTTCCTCTAGATTCGGACCCTCTGAATTCCTAACAATTCTCCTTATTTCACTAATCTATATTTCCTTCAATGCCTGATCTTTTCTGTTAACACTGATATTGTTACTACCTCTACTATTTCGGGATTCGGACTGACAATTTCATCTCTTTGTACATACGTATACGTACCAGGTCCTACGTCGTGACTAACTGACCGACTGAATTTCATTTTCAACGTGATAATAACATGCTGTTTTCCATTTACCTCTCAGTTCTTTTGATGTGTTAATCTCTCACCCTATTTGTAGAGTTATTGTAAATGTACACATGTACTGTTTCGTTGAATCAATCTTCTTTGGTGTCTACCAATCCATCTTCTTCATAAGATTTGTTTTTTGGGGAGTAGCCGAAGTTAGAAAAGAAAGGCAGTTGTGAAATGCAGATAGCGAAGCATAGCTAGTAGCTATTCATCTTTTCTCTTAATATCCCACCATAGATGAAACATCCGAAATTTTATTTGCAGGAAATCCCTAAAATGTGTTTATTCAGCCTCATGTTTTGTATGTGGGCTTGGATGCTGACCCGGTGCCCAAACTGAACCAGGTGTTTTTCTTAGGAAGGCCACTACCGAGCCTCGGTCACGGATGTTTAATCCACAAAGCACTGAAGTAATGTTAAGGGATAAGTTCATATGGTTTCCGGCGACCGAGAATTGGTCTATACGCCATTCGTTCCCTTAGAATCCTGGAACCCATATGTACTATTGCAAATAATGCACATACGTGTTACAAACGTTCAACTACATGAGCACATGCATACTATTCATAAAAGCGATTCCTACTTATACTTTCTCAATGAAGAAAAAGCTTAATGCTTTAAAGAATATAAATTCACTGACAATGATAAATAACTTATGAAGTCAGTCATAACATTTCATCTTTTCCTATTATTTAAAACATCAGGAGTTATAACTAACCATGAAATAAAAACCGTATGATTTTTTAATTAAATTAGAAAATATAACAATAAAGACAAAAATCAATAGTAGGTGAATAAACAAAACAACAACTGTTTTTTGAATCAACTAATCAGTTAAACAGAAAAAACAATGAATACCCTTATTTATTATTAACATGAATCCAAAAGAAAAAAATAATACTGAT